AATTACAGCAGTTATTTATTTATCATGTCATATTCATATTTGACTTAGGATGAGTTCGTCAGAACGTAACTCCATCGTAAGTCCAAGAGGACCCGTATGCACAACTCACAATGGTCGTGTGTTGTGGCTGCTTTCGTTTGAAGTCATAAGGCCCGTGTGGAATGGAAGGGAAAGTTAGTCACCGTTGAAATGTCTCTTTTCCTTCATTTTCATGATTGGGCAGTTTTGACGCCCTTTGCCCCTGAGATGCTAACCGGAACGTCGGTTGTACCCGACAGGCTGATTTTTTTCCTTGATGAATAAATTCATCGTTTTCATGCCGTGTGCCAGCATTACATGACGGCTAATACAATATGCTCCTTCGCGAGACATGAACAGTAATACTGAGTGCCGGTGCAAGACCACTGTTGCATCGATCATCACTGTAAACTTTGACATCCGGATTAACGAATATTTACTTACAGTCTGCATCGGTTTAGCTGACAGCTGTAGTATTTCACTGTACGAAGTTTTTAAGGGGCTCTATTTAGTCAGGCCTGCGTGACTCTAATCGACAGAAGCCACTCAATATTAGTTCTTCTGAAAGAAATCTTTTCATTAAATGTTTAATGAATGCCCCTCATTCATCATGATAAGCTAATGCTGGGGCGTTAACGCGAACCTGATACACATTGTTAGATTCACGCAATCAGTTATCATAATCTGTCACTAATGCTACCTGACATTTACGTTTTCATATTCTTCTTTTGTCTTGATAAGGACAGCTGCTAGTTGTCGGCTTTATCAGCTGTGCCTTATAATGCTTAATGCTTCCGTCATAGCAGTAAAATTTACTGATAATGAAATTCCTACCATCTGCAAACAACTGCCTTTCCAACAACGATCCCAAAATCTAAAACATCAAATCTACTTGTGATGATATTTACTCTTCTGCCTGGTGTTAGAGTATCAGTACGAGTTTACACCTGTGGATTTTATTATCTATAATTCGACTTGTCTTTTAATCCAGTGGCTTTTTCCGCTTTCACACCGTTCAACTCAAGTCAGTTTCACTTAACATCGTCTATTCTGAGCTGTTTCTCTCCATCATACTGCAAACAAGATGTCTATCAATGGCCCCTGCTAATTTTTAGAGCAATCGATGCTATATTTTTGATCGATAATAGACTAGTTTCCACCTGTTGTTTCGGCGGTTAACTACATGACCAGGGTCATCAGCTTGTTCACACAAATGGTCTGGATTACGTCTTTTGCGTCAGATCATAATTATATCATATTCTGAGACGACCTATCACTCTAGCATAATATTTTCTGCGATATTTCCTACGTAATGAGTTTATGTTATAGTTTGTTTTAATGACTGAATAATTATCAGCTGTTTTTAGTCCCCGAACGCCTCAGGACCGACAACTAGCCAGCTCTCATCTGCAGGAACTCATCAATAACCTGCATGAACTCAGCGAGATGATGTAAGTGACTTGGCGATTATTTCTTAATGTTGGGATTTATAATGTTAGCGGCGTCAGAAAAATACCAAAAAAGCTTGCTATTTAATGCAGCAATAAAATGAAGTGAACGAGTTTCTGTCGAAATAGAAAAAACTCTGCAGAACTGAAGCAATGTTATACTTATTTGGAAAGTTTCTTTCAGAAACTGACGGATCACTTTTATAACTGGTAGAACACCTACGTTTTGTTTTCTGTTAATGGTTCGGATGTTCTTGTGATCCAGAAGTATCATTTGTCATTTTAGGGGCAAGTTTGGTACCGATAATCACAGCGAGAAGAACATTCCTGATAACGGAGCTGTGTAGTTCAACTACCAACATTTGATCTTCCTGTGATATGATTTAAAATGGTCGTGTTCCATGTCATTTTATTGTTAAGTGACAGTTGTAGAGATTATAGTTAAACAGTAATTATTACAACGACATTATACTGCAGTTATACGCAATAACTGCCATCTTCTCTTAACATAGGTTTAAGCAACTGTTAAGTGAGCGAGAGAAAAAATTAATGAAGTAATTATGCATGGATTATGGATTAATTAATTCCAATTAGTGTGTAATTTATCAGATTAAAACAAACCCAACCATCGTATTCGTAGTCTAACCACTGCATGGCAATGACATGAAGATTTAGCGTTGGGTTCTTCGTGAACAATCATCAACAATAATATTGAACGAATAGCTTTACTCCAAGCGAGATGTACAAAACTTGCGGTTCCGTGAACGACGGCGGCGAAACAACGCAGTACGGATGATGTTGCTTGATCGATTCACGTTCAAGGCTCAGTTGTCTTGGGGCAGGTTACAGCTTGTTCTGTACAATCATGTACTACAGTACTTGCGAGTCGGTTCGTTTTACGCTGTTTTGAACTGACGATTACGTATCCCTCAGAGTTTCGGTTTTTTGTAATTGTAGTGAAAGACACTGACAACATTGAATCAAAAACTTTTTGCTGATTCTTCATATTTCTTTTCTGACTCCGCATATGCATATTATTATTTTGACTACCGATTTTTCGAGTTATATTCAAGTCGCCTTCTCTGAAGGAAACTCAAAATTATTTAATAACAGACACAAAAGAAAAAATTTAATTTTAAGGCTAACAAAACATTCAAATTTCACACTCGGTTACAAAATCAGTTTTCGTCGTCAACGTTTAGAAAGTTCTTAACGTACAGCTCCCGCAGATAGCTTATTACTACATCTAGCTTGAGCGCTGGCCCAAGTTTCAGGCCCAAGTATGTCTGCATATCGGGAAGCGTCAGGAGCATGAAAGCTTCGCCGTCGATTAGCTAAAACCGACATCATTT